GTTTTGTAAAAAAAAAAAAAAAAAAAAAAAAAAAAGGAACATTGGATGATATGCTGTGATGGCTTACACTCTTAGAGTCTAGAGACCTTTTTGTGTTTATCCAGTCAGCGTCGGAGATGCCAGTTGTCAATGTGGGGTAGTAGTAACCCCTCTTTTCCTTCCTTGGTGTGTCCCCATGCTGATTGGGAAAGAGGGGTTAACATATTGGTTAGCCATCTTTCTTCATTCCTCGTTCCATGTTATCCTGAGTGAGGTGGGGTTGGGGAAAGTGGATATGGGCCTCACGGATTATATATTGCGGTGCCGCCTGTGCACAGCTTTCCTCTTTTCTGTCATTACCTCTCTCCTCTTGTCTTTGCTATCCTATCCGTGCTGTGGCCCTGCCCCCCCCCCCCCCACCCCCGGGGTCTCCCCCCCCTCTTTCTACACCCTCACGATGCTTGATTATGGTGGATTTGCTGGAGGCGTTTTCCACATGGGGAATGTGCAAGGATTTGGGAAGCCAGTAAAGCACAATCATGAAAACTTTTGGGACGTGAAATGAGGGAAGACCTGGAAGGGGGCAACTATGCAATTTTCCATGTTCTGAATGTTGCACACTGTGATGACTTTCTCTTTGCCTTCTCGGTGTGCTGATTTTCCGACATTTCGTGGAGGTAACCTGGCGTGAATAACGAGATTCGATTTCCACAGTCCCTATCTACCATCCTGTGAAACCGCAGCCAAGGGAACGGGCTTGGAAGAATCGGCGGGGAAAGAAGACCCTGTTGAGCTTCACTCTATTTCACCTATGTGATTGAAGAAGAACCTGCCGTGGTGCCTGCCGTCCCTTTTGCTTTTGTGGTCTGGTTTTGTTGTAACATTTCCTGCATTGAACCTTTGTCTGGCTACGCTCATAACTGTTAACAATGCTACTTGCGGTCTGACTGAGGATAATGTGAACGAGTACTTGTGTCCGTGGGGGCAAGGATGGTATATTCCTGACTGAGGGCAATGTGTCTGACTGTGGGTGATTATAGGAGACTGAAGATGATGCGTCTGGCTGACGAAAGTGTGTTGGGAGAAGAGTAATGTGTCTGACTGACGATAGATGTCCTGCAAACATGACCATCGCTGAGTCTCTTTGCCATGATAGATGTCCTCCTGCAAACATGTCAGGAATCAGGATATGTTTTGTGACTTTCGTCCATTCATACAGATTCCAAATTCGAATCTCACCTAGCCCACGTGGCTGAATGCAACACACATCGAACTGTTCGTCCTGTCACAGATCATGAGTTCGAATCCTGATGGAAGCAGATGGATGTGATAATGTTAGGGGCTACCTCCTTCTGGAGAAGAAAAACAGAACTTTAAATATTATTATTTATTATTTATTAATGTCAATTACAGGTTGCAAACAACTGGTATCTCACATTTTCTGAAAGCAATAATCTTTCTCGAGTTCCTTGTTTCGTTCTTGTTTCTCAAGTTGAGTGGATGCAAGTGGATGAATCGGTAAGTGGATGCCAATGTTTTTTTCTCCAGAGATATGACTCTCTCATTCTCTCTCTCGGTGTCTTCCTGTCTGTCTCTTTCTCTCTTGCTCTCTCTCTCTACCACATGCCTTTCCCCCCCTTGCTCTGTCTCTCTTTTTTCTTCTGTCTGTTTGTCTCTCTCTTTCTCTGGGATCGGGGGGTGGGAGGTAGGGTGTTGATTATGGGTTTGCAGCATAATGCAAGAAGTGGATCTTTGAGAGTGCATACAGCAGTTGCTGCTGCACGAAATGCAGGCATTCCGTTCTCAGCCCTGGTTGCCTTCGACAACAAACTGTCCAGTGCGTGTAATGCTTATGACCCGGGGGCGGCGGAAGCTGACTATAGCATGGCTGTTGCTCTTGTGAAGGAGGTGGCCTCCAGACTTTGTCCTGCGATTACCCTCTCCGAGGATGGGCTGGGAGCAACGAGGTCCACACCGTACTCGCAAGAAACACAGGAGTTCTTTTCAAAGGTCTTGCAGGGTTACAGGAATGTGTGGGCAGGGCAAGTTGGCGCGACGGATTTGTCAAGAGACTCAGAGGGGGTAGTAGGTTCTCCTGATGAGCCTATGGTGTCACAAGGTGAGGGTGGATTTCAAAGTGGCAGCAATGGCAGTGGAGAAGGGGACGATGGGAAAGGAAAGGAGCGTGCAATCTTTGAAGCGGTTTTTATTCCTTGTGTTGACCAATGGGATGTGGAGAGCATCAAAGTGGCCGTCAATGTGCGCAATGCGGAGTACTATTTGGATGCCTTGGCAAAGGAGTTGAGTTGTGACAACGCCGGCAAACTTCTTATTTCCAGGTACGTTTCAACGCCCACAGACCTCTTATTTCCAGGTACGTTTCCGCTCACGTGTCCGCTAAGTTTTCCTGTCTGTTTTGACGTTTATGAATTGGCAAAGGTCTTTCAGAGCAGTCTTTCATAGCCACCCAGTCCTTTGATTTCGTCTCCCGTCGTTCTGCCAAGGTTCACTTGGCAGCTCTTTGGGATGACACATGCGCATGCAATACTGAAGGTAAAAGTGGTAGATACTAGATGGTGAGATGTGTCACGGTGGTGCACCAAGTGGTTGGTAGTTGACCAGGTGCACCAAGCGTTTGGTAGTGGACACAGTGCACCAAGCGGTTGGTAGTTGAACAGGTGCACCAAGCGGTTGGTATAGTTGACACGGTGCACCAAGTGGTTGGTAGTTGACCAGGTGCGCTGAACGGCAGGTAGTTGACATGGAAATCCCCGGAAATCCCCGGAAATCCCCGGCACCACGCCCATGTTTTCATGTAGAGGCAAGCGGTCGGTAGTTGACATGAAAAATCCCCGCCACAACCAGATATCGCCCATGTCCTCGTGTAGAGGCATCCAAGCAAATGTGGGGCAACATGGGAATTCTGACCACACTTATTGTCCGTGTCCCGGAATACCGGATCAGGTCCTGATGCCCACCGGTCAAATGAAACCGGTGGGCACTGTTGAAAATGAGACTCTCGAGGGCGAGTTTCCTGCCCCCTTTTTTTTCTTTTTGTGTGTGTGCGTGTGTGTGT